AAATTTCATTTATTTATTTGTTTATATTTATAATACTTAATTTGTTTTATTTTTTTTATTCACTTTTTTATCTTTTTTTTGATATTATCTAATGAAATCTATTAGTAAAGCTAAATAAATTGATATAAAAAAGTTTATGAAAAGGCTTTTTTTAAGTTTTTTTTTTTAAATTCTCTTCCAAATCTCATTTTCTAGTAATAAATTGTTGATTCTAATTAATAATTAATTATTAATTATTATTTATTAATAATTGTTATTAATCATTATTTATTAATAATTATAAAATAATTAATAATTATTTTAGAAAATAATTAACTGATCAAGTGAATTTATTTTTCATTCGAATTGATTGCAATTAAAATATTATAGGTCGAAATTTTCGAAAACAAAAAGGCAAATTTATCATAAAAATTCAGAGATTTCCTTTGTGCGATTTCCATGATTTTCTTTTTATCAGCTAATCAGATTTTTTTCTCTCAAAAAGAAAAGTAAGTAGACAGTATAAACAATTCAATCAGATATTTTTATCAGATATCAGATATATATTATTTATCATATTTTTAAAAAAGCCTTCGCGCTTTGAATGCGATTAGAAGAAAAAAGTCCGCCAAACTCAATTTACCATAATCACCACAATAGTTTTGTATTATTTATAAATTATTGTCAAAATCAGATTTGCTAATAGAATAATCCATTTTAAACTTTATAAATTAGCAACTATATTCATAGATAGCTGAATAAATGCAAAAGCCAGAAAAATCCACATTTCTCTATTTTTATCAAAAATTCACTTTCCGCGATTTTCGATTTGCTATAAAAAATTCCGAATTCCGAAAATTCCGATTATTTATTTATTTTATGGTACAAGGTTAATGATGTTTCTTCGTATAGAAAGCCGTTCTATTATGTATTTCTCATCTGCTAATCTATTATTTTAATCTATAATTAACATTTTCATTCACCAGGTTTCATTTGAATCACCTGAACATTCATTGAAAGCCTTCTTTACGTGTTTATTTCGATAAAATATCATGATAATATCATTGATAAATCATTGATCATTGATTATTTTAAAACCGCTGATAAAATAAATAACTATTAGTGCTTATCTATAAGCATTTATTTTATTTGAAATTTGGGCATATATATAATATTCTATAATATATAATATATATATATATATATTATATATTATATTATCTGCGGAATAAAATGGCTTATCGGATTGCATGCTCAATTCGGAACACCGATGCTGAGGTTCTATTCCGTGCAAGAATAAACGTATCCAAAAATCCATGTGATGCTGGCGATTCACCTCTATTTCTATTGCCAAGGGACCCTCTGGCATATTTGTCCAGTCAGCGGAGATAATTTAAACAATAAAGGTGAGGTAATTTAAAAAAAAAAAAAACCACCGAAGTGTGGTGATCAAGACTGTGGTTCAATATGGAATATAACGACGAATCGAATCGCAGCCAATCATTTCATATCTGGTAAAGATCCTTGGCGAGACCCTCTGAAAGCTTAGGTCGATCTTCAAAGACTCTAATAGAGGACTAACGCGACCGATATCACCCATAAGGAATTAGAGGAAGATTTTATATATATATATATATATTATTAGCGATTTTTGGTCAGCTACTGTGAATAAAAGGTTGCATTCCGAGCAATCATCATTATATGCACCATTCAAAAAAGCCGAAGATAATTGACTGATGCAATCCACAATCCACAACCAAATGGGAAGAAAATACTTAGAAGACTGATAAATTTCTTAAACTTAAACAATTATAGACATAATTATATATAATTATATAAATCTATAAATATATACAGAGTTAAAGTAAACGTATTATATTAATCCGAAGCCTTAGAAAAAGCCTAAGCCTAATAGCGATTTCCATGTGCCCATCGACATGCGCAATGTGTTGTTTGACGAAGCAATTCAATTGCAGTGATGGTTCGTTGAATTTAGAAAAGATTTCATAGAAAATTTAAGAATGGCCATTCGTTTTATGCCTGCAATTATTGTTTTTTTCTTTTCTATAAAAAAAACCGTATGAAAATTTTATAGAATCAAAAATTGCATCGTTTAGATCCAATAAGTGCAGCGGCTTGCACAAATCTGACTGTTGCAATGTGCAATGATGCAACCAATTGCAATTCGAAAATGCCCAAAAAGGTGCGGATTTTGCGATCGACCTGGTGCTCTGGGAAGGTGTCCAGATCTTAACGATCACTGTGCTCTTTTCAGACAACTGAGAAATTGTTCCGAGCCATTTATGCAACAAAACTGTCAGGGTACTTGCGATTTGACAAATTGCATCTCACAAGGTTGCTTCTACGAATTTTCGCTAAATGAACGATCAAATAATTTGTAATAACCAAAATATTAAATAATTGTGCTTAACGATATATCTTCAGCGAGTACAACCCCGTCACAAAGAACTTGTGTGGACAGACCGAACTGTGCACAATTCACTCACCTATGTAACACTCCACCATACTCGACAACGCTGAAACAGCAGTGTCCCATCATTTGTCGTGGAACATGTTAAATGAATATCGTTTTTGTGAAATTTTTTAGAAAATTAGAAAATTTCATTTTGATTTTGTATAAATCATCTTACGTTTCTAAACGCAAAACTTACGCAATACAATATGGCGCAATACTTATTTTACGACCCTTTTTATTTTGACCCTCTCTTATGGGATTTTCTTCTCTAAATGAAATAAACCGATTTTTGGGATTTCAACTTTCGCGCCTTATCATTTGGTGGTCATTTAAAAATATATAGCATGGGGGTTTTTTTATTTTTCTGATTTCATTACTATTTATATTCGATTAGCTTTTATCAAAAAATTATGATAAATATTTCAAACTTTTGATCTCTTTTTTTTAAGCTATCGATTAAGAAAATAGAATTTCAACTTTAAAGTTTTCTAAATTTTCTAAAATTTTGGAATTTTAAAAAATCTAATGGAGATAAATCAAAAAAAATTTATAGGCAATGTTCCAGCATAACTTTTCTCTCTAACTTTCTAGGTTTATTCCTATAAAGCGAGGAATCGAAGCAGTGATGCTTGACGTGAACTGAAGTAATAATTATGCCCATAACCTGTTAGGCAAACTTCTTCTTTCTCTTGAGGAAAGGGTCTCAGCCTCAACGGTGACCTCATAGACATTAGAGTCAGCTGAACTAGAAATGGTGAAAGTTGCCGAAAAAAGGAATGCATCATACCACCTTTTATACCCAATCACCGCAATATTAGTGTTCTTTATGATTTTATTATATCAAGTATCTATGAGGCTCAGATAGCATCTTATCAGATAACCTCATCAAATAAGAGATTTTAAAGATGAACTGATTGTTATGCATACAGGACAGTGAGACAATACGATGAGGATAATTGAGGTCGCTAATGATTATGAGGAAATAAATGTGGTATAGAAAAGAGGTTATTAATTGATCATTAATTATCACCTTGCTAGATTTATTTAACAGGAAGATTTTTTGTAAAATACAACTGACTAGGGTTTTTTCTAGGTTTTTCCACAAACCTCATCAAATGAGAGACCGCTAGATTTTAGAGATGAACTGATCGATATGCATACACGGTCAAACACAAATATATCAAGCTAATTAATTCTCTCTTGGCTTTAACCTGAGAAAAAATTTTTTAGGTCTCGACTAGAGATAAAGAATAGGACCACAATTGCCGATGGTTCCATAGATTTTTCTTAAAATCTAGCGTTCTATTGAGTCATTACATTGTCATTAGGCTATTTCGCCATAGAACCAATGAAGAAAATATTCGTGGCTCTATAGTACCACTCAGGTTCCATTCATAATAGCAGACTTCTTTCTTTCAATAGAGTCAAGAATCAAGCATTTCTCATCTGACCAAAGTTAGTCAAAATAAAGCCACTCATTATGTTTTTGAGGAATTTAAAATGGCTATTCGTAAATTATTTCATCAAATTTTTAGATTATTTCATATTTTCAAAAATCATCTACGTTTAGAAGTCAGATATTTCCTTTTGTTTCTTTTGGTATTAAGAAAAATTAGAAAAAAAAACGGTGACCAACTTTTGCAGCGACAGATAAGACAATTATCAGTTGATTAATAAAAGATAAGATTTCGTTACTTCTCATTTCTTTTTAATAAATTCATAAATAAAAATGATAATACAATATTTTACAGTATAAGTAAATATATTAAATATTTAAAGTATTTTATACAAGGAAAATGAATAAAATTAAAATCCAACACAGATCATTATATTAAATAAATTCGATATTAAATATTATATATAATTTATGCAAATTTAATTAAAGTAATGGATGGATCTTAGAAATTTTAAAAATAAAAATTTTATAAAATTTTCTGAAAGAAATAAGGTTCTTTGTTTTGTTTTCGGCGGTAATGAAATAATTCTAGGAAGAATATTCACAAAAAAATCCCCTTCTCATCCACCCATTGCTGTTCACTCTCAACTTCAGGTCCTCTACCAGAAACATAGTAGAAGGCAGATAAGGCATATATGAAGTACTTCTTTCCCGAGAACTCTTATCAGAAGGTTGATAAAAGCAAAGAGATTGGCTGTGATTCGAATCGTTGTTTCATTCACATTCTATATCAACCGGATCGCCTTTGCATATATTAACGAAATATTGAAAATGCCAAAAAATATGCAATAAAAGTTTTTCTTTAACACTTGATATTTATCAAATAATACAAATAAAAAATTATTAAAAATATTTTGTATAATTAATAAAAAAGCGAAATAAAGAAATAGAAAAATTATGAAAAAATTATTGCAATCATTAAAAATTAATTTAATATTTAAATAAATCGAATAATTTGTAGGGTTCGATTATTTGAATTAGCTTCGCATAATTTTAGTTTATAAATAATATTTTCAATCTTTATTGTTTATATTTTTAAAATTGATAAATGATAAAAAAATGATAAATATTATGCGCGAATCACGTGGCTTATTTATTCTTAGCAAAAGGATGTGTACGTATCAATTTGCACGATCGTTCGTCATTTTTTGTATATCCTTTTTTGCAAACACAAATCGGTTTACAACCGTTGGTTTTAAGAAAGTTATAAATTATCCTAATGAAAGGAAGATGGCAAAATGTCGAAATTTCGTCATATTCCATATTTTTGCCGCATTCAGTATTATCCGACGAAGTTCCATTGACGAAATTCTCGCTCGAAGACTCAAATGACGACATTGCTAAATCGGTTGTCGATATTGCTTTAACGCATGAATTATTATTTTCACTGAAAATATATCCATCTCGACAAACGCAATGAAATTGGCATGGAACTATTTTGCATCGACCTGGATTCGGGCAAGAGAGACAAGCTGCATGCGCCTGACCAATCGCATTTTCTCCACATGAATCTCGAGTTTGAAATTTGTTACAATTAAAACTCACCTGAAAATTCATCTGAAATTTTTTTCCAGCTGATTATTTCATGGATCTGAACAAAAGTTGATAATTTGAAGAAATTAATGATTAATAATTAAAATTAAACTTAACCTGAGGTTAGGGCAATAAAGTGAATGAGGTAAAACATTCCGCTTGCATCTAACTGCCATTCTATTTTTTCCTATTAATATTTTTATTATATTTATTTCATTTTTGCGGTTATTTATCAAAAAGGTTGATAATAAAAAGAACGAACCAAGAAAAGTAAAATCTGCAATATTATTATCCATAAATGTAAGTGATACATAGGTGAATAGTAGTAATAGCAGTTGAAAGTGAATAGAGTGGTGGCCAAATGAGAAAATAATATTCAACTGATAAATTTATAGCAATAATACAGTGGAGGCGGATCGAATTTTTTTGATTTGAATGGATTACGAATATCCTTATCAAAATGATACATGACTTATCAGCCGAATACATGACTTATGACTTATCACTTTTGTTCGATTTTGAAATTATTTCTGTTACTGAAAATTCGCGAAAAATATTTCATGAAAATATAATTCAAAATTTTAAAAAAAATTCTTGTTACAACAATAAGAGAATCTTATTGAACCCTTTTTTCATATATATGAATATTTCAATAATAATACTGACTTTTCCAAAAGAATTATTTGATAGATTTGCTGCTAGTATTTGATAAAGTATTTGATACGATCACTCAATAGACCAGTAAATACCATCATTTACAAAAAGGCAATTCTCGACTTCTTTTTTAATGTGCTTCATTCAATGGATAATTAAATTCATACTTACAGTCACTCGAATAAATCATTTGCTTTATTTGTGATAAAATTGTATTGAGAAAAAATGATAAAATTGATAAGAGATTTTTATTTTTATCACTTCATCCTTTACTTACTTGTTTCTCATTTATGAAGGTAAACATTTATTCAGTATTTGTAAAATTTTTTTTTTTGCCTTTTCATTATTCGCAAAATAGAGAAACTAATTTGACGACGAATTATTTTATTCAAATTTATTTTATTCGTTAAATCCATTTTATTTGATCGAAAAAATTTTTGACAAAATTTGCATTTTTTAATTCATATTTAATTGAAAATTATCGAAAAAAATTCAATTCAAAATAATTTTTTCGCAATTACTAATTCGAATAAAATAAAAATATATTATATGAAATTTTTTTTTAAAATTTTATTATTATTACTATTATTATTTTTTATTATTATTATTACTATTTTTATTATTATTTCCACTTTATTATCATTTTTTTAAATTGAATTTTTTCATGAAAAAATATAATAAAGAAGTATAAATAAAATATAAAAAAGCTCTCACCATTACTGTTTGGCTGACTATAAACGTAAGGCGAAGATTTTCAGTAAGGCGCAGTATAATTTTTAAAGAATTTATTGTTTTTAAGAGGAGAACTTTTCCTCAGAACTTCGAAAAAAAATCGTCCTAAAAATTTCTAATTCGGCAAACATTTTGGAATTATGGATAGTTTTTTTGATGAATTTAAAAGATATTTATGCATGAGAAAAGAGAGAATAAAGAAGAAGTATTTGTGTGCCGACAAAATTTTAAAATTTAAATTTCGTTAATTAAAATTCTATAAAAAACATATGGAAAGAAGCCTTATTAACTCTTTATTATAGTAAATTTCACATAATTTTATCATTTTTATCATTTACCGAATTTTTTTTCCCGAAAATTATCAATTAACCTCTTTGTTTTCCAAATCTGAAATTTTGAACGTACAGATGAACCAGCAATTTATGGACTTAGACGATGGAAAAAGGAATGGCTTCTATTACTGTCGACGATAGCATTAGACCATTTGGAAGCTTCTTGAAGCCAGCCTAACCAGTAATGATGAGAACTGTTAGAAGAAAAAGAAGAATTTTCCAAATCTGATTTGTTTTCTAAAAGTGAAAAGCATTGCTGGTTCGTCTAAGCCACCAACGTTTGTTTGATTGAACTCATTAGGGACAAAAAATAAATTAAAAAGGCAAAATTCATTAGCTTAATTTCAGCACCATTATTAGCGTTTTTAATATTCTTTTTTAATAATATTTTTAATATTCTATTTTTATATATAATTGGCATTATATCAACATCTTTATTTCACTAATTCACTATTAATAGTTGATTGAAGCAAATATTTAAAAAACGAACAAAAAATAGTCCAAATGGTACTAATGGTACTTCCATCGCCAAATGATTCCTCGTAGCAATTCGGTTCGCCTAAACCAGAATGAAGTTAGTGCTAATCGTTTAATTCCTTATATAAAATCAGCAAACATTCAAATAACATAAAATAAATTTGAAGTTTGACAAAAAAAAAAAATCTATTTCTCACTTATTGCAATAGTTTTCAGGAATTATTTGCCATAATAAAAGTAGTGGGTGAACAGGTAAATAAATAAAATCTAAACAAATAATAAAATAATAATAAAAATAATAAAATAAAATAAAATAAATAATAAAATCTAAACAAATTTGCCTGAAAAAGGTCATGAAAAGGTCAAAAAGCGATAATTTTTTAATTTATTCATTAAATTTACTCAAATTTTTTTCTTAAATTCTCGTTTAAATTCCATTTTCAAAAAATAAATTTTTAGAACTTCGCCAATAATTATTAGTTGGAAGCAATCATTTCAATTTTTTATATAATATAAATTGAATATTAAATATAATGCAAATAAATATTAAATTACTAATAAATATTAAATATTATATTAATATTATATTAATATTATTATAAATATTAAATATAATTTTAAAAAATCTGAATATTTAAATTACGGAAATTTTATACAAATATTAATGCAAAAATTGATCTATTTGAAAATTTAAAAGTTAAAAGCTGTTTATTATTTGAAAAATAGTGTAAAAATAAATTATCAAAAAAAAAAGATCTAAAATATATTTCATTTGGTCGAAACGATGGGAAGGCTAAGTCGAATATTGCTTCATTTGAAGACAGGGCTCATGCTTTAGAACATGGAAACCTTAGAAGCGAAATGCACAACTCTTATCCTAAAGTAATTCCTTAATGAAACAATAAGGACTTTATTCTAGCATTTGCCTAGTGGAACCAATGGAACCAGAAGATTACGCTAGTTTTAGCAGTAAAATAGAACCGTTCACGAAATACTATTATTTTTTCACAAGAATTAAGAGCAAATCTTTATTTTTTAATTTCATATTTAAAAGCGATGATTATAGAATATTTTACTAAATAAATTAGTAAATATGGCAACGAACAGATGAACAAACTTCAACTTCAGGAAAGTCCATAGTTTTCTTTCACCTTTCCTTTGTGTTACCTAACAAATAGGTTAATGATTTTTGATTTGCAGTTGCATAAAAGGTTGCTTTGGAAGCAATTAGAGGCAATTTAGGATGGAAATATACAAAAGTCGTGTCGTTTTCATATTTCTCCTCATTTTCCTTCCATTATCTTTTAGTGCGTACAATGATATCGTTGATTGCGTTGCGATGGTCGGGGGACAAAAAAAGCCCAGCATTTCACCGGACGCTTGCCGTGATACTGAAAACGCTTTTTGTTCGGCTCAGTTCGGACTGGATGCCGCCACTATCCAAAACAACTTAATGGCGTAAGAATTCAAATCTGAAAACTGTATTTTCATAAAATTTGTGATTCATTAAAAGTAAAAACAGTCCAGTTTTGAATATTTTAAAGCTGCTTGAAAGTTCGATTAGCTTTGCTTAAATGAATGAATTTGGTGACTATAACGGCACCAAAGATCCGTTCAACTTCTATATTATAAAATTCCGTTTGTTTAGATAAAACTTTCGTTCTTCCGCTTCGGCGATTTCTAATTATCGGTGAAAATTTTAATTTTCTTCAATTTTTATTCTTATTCATTTAAGATAGCATAATAATTGTAAATAATTCGATGGGCTTTAATTTTACATTATGTGCAGAAAGCAGTCCGCAATTGTTCAAAATAGCGGATAATGCGATCCACGAAAAGGCAAATAGGAAGAATGACTTAGGAAATTGGTAGATTTCTAGGCTTGCAACTTTTATTTAACCATAAATAATTACAATTATAAATATCACAAAAAAATGAATTGGTCGTAGCTTCAGATTAGAAAAAAAAAACGTTCTTAAAACGTTTAATATAAAATAAAATATAAAAATATTTTATGTTAATGGCTCAAAATGGCTAAGAAAAAAAAGTCATCGAATAATATTTTAGCAGTTGGAAATTTACGTTGAAACTGACAGCTGACAGCTTATAATTTTACAGTTTTAACTTATAAAATATTATGCAAATAACCAAAATATAAAATATAGTTTAATTTTTGGTTATGAAAAAAATGATCATTTAAACTAGGAATATGGCATATAAAGTGCATGAAAACTGCATGAAAGCAGAGCTTAAACGATTGGCGATTTCCATGTGCCCATCGACATGCGCAATGTGTTGTTTGACGAAGCAATTCAATTGCAGTGATGGTTCGTTGAATTTAAAAAAATTTTCATAGAAAGTTTAAGAATGGGTATCCGTTTTATGCCCGCAATTATTGTTTTTGTTTCCTACTAAAAAAACCGTATGAAACTTTATAAAATCAAAAATTGCATCGTTTAGATCCAGCAAGTGCAGCGGCTTGCACAAATCTGACTGTTGCAATGTGCAATGATGCCAATTTTCAACCAATTGCAATTCGAAAATGCCCAAAAAGGTGCGGATTTTGCGATCGACCTGGTGCTCTGGGAAGGTG